GAAACTTGGGTGAGTTCAACACAGCACGTGGGAGAACTTGGCCAAGAGGAGAGGAAAAACATCAACTTCTTATTATATGAATGAGATTCATTAAAGATTTACAGTTTGGCTATTACAAATCTTATTGAGATCCAAGGCAAAGGAAACCTTGTCCATCTTGTAAGAACTCCCGCAAGATGGGATTGCAGAACGTTTCCAATGTTTCTCACATATTAAGGTCAAATAAAGCTAGTTTTAAGCATTGACTAGTTACCGTTGATTTAACACTATTGGAGATGTGCTGCAAAATCACTCTGGCTTGTTGAACTGTGACCTTGAGATTTCTTGAATTACATACAGCTGTGTACGGGTGACATCAAGGCGCTCTCTCAAAGCCCAGGGACGGGAAGCAATTGGGATAGAAGAGAATATACTGCAAGCTCCTCAAGCACAAGCTTGTTTACCAACACAGCCTGTGTGGGCTAGTATTAAATATTCCAGTGTTTAACACAAATTTCTTAAAGGTTGGAGTTACTGTTCCGGAAGAACAACTCAGAAAGAAATTAAACATCTTCATATGCCATTATGTTCAAACCACATGGCCTTAAGAACAACACAAGTGTAATGTCACAGCACCAAAGATAGTTTGATGAGGCTTAGGGCTTTTTAGACATTCTTTACCTCATTCTCCCAGTCTCCTGGATAACTGTGCTGTCTGTGATTACACCAGAAATTAATCTGGCCCAGGCAGCCAAGACAAATGAGTCTTTGTGCCTTGTTGCAGTAATGCTGAAGCTGGAATAAATTTTATTAACCAGCAATCAGAGGTCAAAACACAACAATGAGTATTTTCTAGATAGAAAATACAGATTTTAGGTATTACATGTTTGACTGCAAGTGCTGATATGAGATATAAGCTCTAAAGAAAATCTCCGGAGGAGCAAGCACGAGGGCTTCGCACCAGACGTTTCCTGCAGCAAACGCGCGCGCAGGCTTTGCGTCTCCTTCGCCGCGCGCACATTGCGGCCGATGCAGTTCTCGTCTCCCCAGCTCGGAAGGGAATAGTGCCGAGGAAGGGGGATGCCGAGGGAGCCTGGAGCAAGTCACGCACAGGAAGAGATTAGCTACGCGGGCAGCGTTCGTGGAGAGATGAGGAAAGGGAACGATGCCAAAGGCTATCTGGCTCCGTGAACAAATCATTCATTTCTTAAATTCTCTCCCCTTCAGTGTGGTAAAGGGCACTTGTGAATAGATTTTTTTGGACCTGAGCCGATAACTCTTCCTGCCCATTTTGCAAGGCTGATTTAAATACTACTGATGCAGTCTTCCATCTCCTCCACAGTTTTACAGTTAACCAGGAAAAGTTCAGGTTTTGAGATTCTTCTTGAGTATAAGGCCTGTACCGCTACTATTTTGTTGGGGTTCAGTAAGTCTATATTCATGACAGCTAAGTTTTGCCCAGGGTCTTTAATAAGAATTCAAATGTAACTGTTGGGATTTTTAAATATGTATTTCGAAAATTTTAGCCATCCAAACTATGTAGGGCAGTGCATCCTCTATGTTTATTTTTATTCCTAATCTAGATAGACTCTCCATCAGCTGTCTTCATGGTTTGGTAGCACGAAGGCCTGGAAGCCTACCAAGACACATATAAAACTGCCTTTTTGGTTTCCTTCAGTAGAGGGCCAGATTTTCCTTTCTTTTCGAGTCACTGAAAAGTCACGGTGCATACTAATTCCAGACAAATGTGAACACATGCTATCTGAACAAGGGATGTGAGGCTACATTTAAAGCAAGTGGGCTGAAAAGGACTGTACTAGGGGTTTTCAGAAGGAGAGACTGCTGGCAACCACTTGGAGAAAGTATTCTGTTACTGCGACGGTATTTTGGGCTCCAGACTGAAATGTTCAGAATGTGATCTGCTCAGACAGCTAAGTGTTATGGGGAGCAGTGCCTCCACCATGGCAACTAACACATGGCTTTTCATTGCTGCTAATAATCACACAACAGAAATAAAAAGATGTAGAAAGAAGCATGTTCTTACAAGCACAGACTGCAAATCCACAGCTGCATACTCCAAGGCTGGAACCAAGAGTTAAGGGACTGCTGTATTGCCTATTTCCTCTTCTCCTCTAATTGAAAACATGTGAATAAATTCTTGCTGATAGCTCATCTATTTTGCTGAACCCCCTAGAGTTCAAGGATACTGTTTGCTACCAGCAAGGTATAAGCACAACAAAAGGCCAGGGAAATCGGTTCGATAAAACTGTTTTTGACAGGCATGGCTGAATATCTTTCTAGCAAGGCCACAACACTCCCTTTCCAAATTAATGGATCCTTCAACACAAAGGCAGAAAAATTATGAGATACATACGTAGATAGACACAAGTTCCTGGGAAGGCTGTAGACACTTTCAGAATTAGCAGTACAATACTTGGATACAAGTCTGCTCTTAGGGGCATCACTTAGCAGTTCCTCAAGGACAGATACACAGGGTACTGACGCAGTCCTCAGCCCAGTGTCAGACCCGGCACTGAACTGGGTTTTGTAGGAAGGAAAAGCTGTTTGTAGGCAAAGACCACTGGATTTCCCAAGCATACTTCAGCTGACGGTATCTGCTACTTTCACAGCAAGGCTCAGTCCGGTTCTGTCCCAGCTTATCCCTCCCCATTCACTCTGCCCTTCTGCAATGCAAAAAAGAACCTCTGAACCCAAAGAAATCCTGCTCTGACCTGTCCTTCACACTGGAGCTAGACCAGCTCCTTCACCAAAGCTAGACCAGCTCTCAAGCCCCTCGGAAGGTGGTGGCTGTGGTGGGGCCGCGTGTGCACTGCAGAGACAAGTGGCAGCACAGGACAGACCCAAAGCACCGGCTCTGGGGCCGGCAGGCGGCCCGAGGAAAGGTCTTGGTTATACACCCCATGTGCTGAGATGCAGAAACACGTTCTGTGGAATGGGAGCACTGAGCTCCCATTCCAGGCGAAGGAGCATCACACCAGAAACATTATTTAATCATATTCTTAATTTTCTGTCGTGCTTTCTCTTTTCTTTCTTAGAAGGCTCCCTTTATCCAGCTAAGATGATGAACGTGACTGAGGATACATTGTGGGCAACATTGCGGTTTGCGAAGGGCAAGCAGTCCAGTAACCTGCCTGCAAACAATTCCGATTTGAAAATTCTTCCTCTAACTTAATAATGACGAATAGTCCTGAAAAATAGTAGAATCAATTCAATGAATAAACAAAGGCCTTGACCAATAATCATAAATTCAACTCCAGTCTAAATGTCCTTGAGGATCAGGGTTTTCAATCTATGGCCACTAATTTGAATTTTGGATATCTGAATTACATAACCAAACAATTATGACACTTGCTTAAATTTTTCACTAAAACCCCTTAGATTGTGTCATGCAAGCGGTAAAGGAAAATAAAAGATAATAAAGCACTTTCTTTGCAAATCTCTCCAATGATGCATGATTTTGAGTATATATATATATATATATATATATATGTATAGTATATATAGTGATGAGCAAAAATATACTACTCTTATATGTGTTACTTATTCCATTTTCTCTAACTTTAGCTTCCTAATTCATCATTTCTAATATCAGATTATTTGCATTCACATCAGCAGTAGGCTTATGTGGGTAAAATTTGCACAAAAATTAGCGTGATATCACATAGCAAGTTGCATTTGTATTGATGGCAATGACAGTCATGAACTCAAAAATCCCATTATTTTTAGTTACTTTGTAGGTGTTATTAAATAGTCAGTCTGACTATGTGATTTATATGCCCATTTTTAAGGTAACTAAAATAGGAGCTGCCTTCAGATTGCCGGGGCACATCAGTGAGGCTGCGAGGAGCCAGGGCTGCAGGCAGGTGCAACAAGGGCTGCGCTGATCGCAGTCGGACAGCGAGTGAATAGCAACTTCATCTGCTGCGCTGGGTGTCACGGTAGCTGTTAAAGAATTATGCTTAAATAAATATTTGATTTGGAGTGGAGGAGCCTGCAAACAAACTATGTCTCCTTGCAGCACCAGCAACATTCACTGAGCTAGAGCCCTCGGATTCCGTGGGTTCGGTACCTGCTCCCCAAAGGCGGAAGGAGCTGCGCTCTGTGAGCAGCGATGTCCACGTCGCCCTGGCTGACAACTTGTCTTCATCAGGGGAGAGAACTGCTTTCACTGCTTAAACTCAAGCGTTGATTGCATCTAACCCAATTACCATGTTGCTGCTAGCATTGCCCCTGCTCTCCTCTCTTCTCTTCTCTGATGGCTGCAGACACAGACTGACCCCCCCGTCACTGACCTCTCAGTGGGGAGTGAGCCCCTCAGGTCTCCTGCTCTCACCAGGCCTAGCACAGCCTGGCACTTTTCAGCAGCATCCACCACCCTAATTAAACACGGATCTTACCTGCAGCTCTCATGTGCTTAGGCAGCCACAGGTGCTGACCCCATGGTTACTATTCCTGCTCTACGGAGAGCCATTTTGAGAAAGTCCTGGAAAAAGAGGCCCTCCCTTCTCACCGTTCCCCCAGCTGCTGTCCTCAGCCACGTCCCTAGCGAGGCCGGTGGCTGGGACGGGACAAGCCGGGCTGCACCACGTCCAGCCTGGGCACCCCGTGTAG